GAGAGTAGGTAATCTGAAAAACAGAGAGAAAAAATGAAAAGGAAAAAAGAACAGAGCCACAGAGCAATGTGAGGTACCAATAAGCACCCTAACATGTATAATGGAGAACCCTAGAGGAGAGAAGGGAAAAGGGGCAGGAATTATGATAGTATAGGTATGAAGTATATTTTCATAAATTAAGAGGAAATACCTAGAACTATCACTAGGTGATAAGAGAAAAAAATAACTAAGATTATTAAAGCAATTGCAATTTTGCACTAGAATATCCACCAAATTGAACAGAAATTGGGTAAGAAAGAACAGAGAGACAAAAAAAAAAAAAAGATGTGAGACATAGAAATAAAAGGTAACACGGCAGGTATAAGTGCAACCACACCAATAATAACATGAAATGTGAATGGATTAAATATTCCAATGAAATACAAGACTTTAGACCGGATAAGGAAAAACAAGAGCCGATCTGTATATTGTCTTAAGAAGACAAACATTAGATCTAAAGATGCAAATAGGTTGGAAGGAAATGGATGAAAGACAGAGACCATGGGAAGAGCAAACCTCGGAGGCCTGGAGAGCTTGGCTAGTACCAGGAAAAGGGACTGTGGACCAGAAACGTCCCGTTTGTAAAGAGGGACGACGAAAACCTCATCCATCGGGAGCGAACATGCATGGCCCTGCAAGACGTCCCACAACCCATGAGGAACCTCGACGGAAGAGGGGGGTGACACAGCCAGTTCCAGGGTGATAACTGGAAACCTGCAGACCCTGTTCCTAGGGTTGGGTTAAACTCTAGGTGGGGGATGGAGTCCACCTAGAAACCAGCAGCGGTCTCTGCAGCGCACCTGCCGAGCATCCGTGGGGACCCCCCCCCCCCAGTGCTCAGGGAACATTCTCCCAGATAGGAAGAAAACGAGCCTTAATACATCTAGAGTAATTAAAATCATACACAGTATGTTCTCCAAGCACAAGGGAATGACCTTAAAAGTCAAAAACAAAAAGAAGTTTGGGAAGTTCACAAATTTAGGGAAATTAAACAACACACCCCCCAGTGACTAAGACAAAAGGGAAAAGATCATAAAGAAAATCAGAAAAAACTTAAGATGGGAGACAGGCAAGCTGGCAGGGAGCAGGGTCCTCGCCACACCTGCCCCCCACCCCGGCGACCTAGGGGACATCACGAAATCTGGACACCTACAAGTCTGCCCTGAGGTGTAGACAGAGGTCAGCCCCACCTACAGGGGGAAGGTGTTGGCCTCTAACAGGTAGGAAAGAGGAAAAATAGAATAGAGAAGAACCCGGGGGGGGGGAGGACCAGGCTGGTGGGGGGGACCTTGGGGACAGGAGAGCCCCAAGGGAGACGGGGCAGCCTGGGGACAGGAGAGCCATGAGGGAGATGAAGGGACTTTACTCAGCCATTAGAAATGACAAATACCCACCATTGGCTTCAAGGTGGATGGACCTGGAGGGTATGATGCTGAGTGAAGTAAGTCAATCGGAGAAGGACAAACATTCTATGGTCTCATTCATTCAGGGAATATAAAAAATAGTGAAAGGGAATAAAGGAGAAAGGAGAGAAAATGAGTGGGAGATATCAGAAAGGGAGACAGAGCATGAGAGACTCCTAACTCTGGGAAACGAACTAGGGGTGGGGGAAGGGGAGGCGGGCGGGGGTTGGGGTGACGGGGTGACGGGCAGTGAGGGGGGCACTTGATGGGATGAGCACCGGGTGTTATGCTCTATTGAACTCCAATAAAAAATTTTTCCAAAAAAAAAAAAAAGAAAGAAAGAAAAAACTTAAGATGACTAAAAATGTGAACCTGATACACCGAAACTTATAGAAAAGCTAAAACAGGCTAGGAGGAAAATCTACAACTACAAATTTCATGTTTTTTTAAGTACCTCAAATCAATAATCTTTCCATCCTGAGATATTGGGAAAAAAACAAAGAGCAAACTAAACTCAAAGCAAATAGAAGATCAGAGTAGAAATGAATGAAATATAAGCATAACTTGTTTTATTGCTGTTACTTTGTGTTTTGCAAATACTGCACTTTCTTACAAATTGAAGGTTTGTGGCAACGCTACAAGAACAAGTCTATCGGTACTCTTTTTCCGGTAGTATTTGCTCATTTCGTATCTCTGTCAACTTCATAATTATTTAAATATTTCAAACTCTCAGGCAGCCCTGGTGGCTCAGCGGTTTAGCGCCGCCTTCAGCCCAGGGCGTGATCCCGGAGTCCCGGGACCAAGTCCCATGTCGGACTCCCTGCATGGAGCCTGCTTCTCCCTCTGCCTGTGTCTCTGCCTCTCTCTCTCTCTCTCTCTCTCTCTCTCTCTCTAATAAATAAATAAAATCTTTAAAAAAAATTTCAAACTCTCTCATTACTATCGTATTTGGCATGGTGATCTGTGATCAGTGTTCGCCGATCTTACTACCATACGTACTTTGGGGCTCCGTGAACCGTGTCCAAATGAGATCGTGAACTTAATTAATAAATATTGCATGTGTCCTGACCAGTCCACTCAGTGGCGGTTCCCCTGACCCCCTCTCCTTGGGCCTCCCTATTCCCTGAGACCCAACAATACAGGAATTGAGCCAATTAGTGATCCTACAATGGGCCCTAAGTGTTCAAATAAAAGAACGACTTGCACCTCTCTCACTTTAAATCAAAAGCTAGAATTGGTTAAGCTTAGCAAGGAAATCATGCTGGAAGCCCAGATGGGCTGAAAGCTAGGCCTCTTGTACCAATCAATTCTCCAAGTTCTAAATACTAAGAGGAGGTTCTTGAAGGAAGTTGGAAAAGTGTTACTTCCGTGAACCCGGCAAATGATAATAAAGCAAAACAGCCTTTTTTGCTGATCTGGAGAAAGTTTCAGCAGCCTGGAGAGATTAAAACCACCAGAGCATTCCCTTAAATGCAAGCCACACACAAAGGAAGGTCCCTGGTCTGTTCAGATGTGGGCAGGCTGACAGAGCCGAGGAGGCTGCAGAAGGCAAGTCGGAGGCCAGCGGAGGTTGCGTCGTGAGTTTCAAGGACAGAAGCCATCTCCACAACACGAAGGAAGGTGCAAGGTGAAGTAGCAAGGGCTGACTGTAGATGCTGCAGCGAGTTATCCAGAAGATCCGAGTACACCTAATTAATGAAGGTGGCTACACTAAACAACAGTCTCAAAGTGGATGGAACCGCCTCCTATTGGAACACACGATGCAGGAATTCATACCGAAAGAAGTCGGTTCCTAACGTCAAAGTTTCAAAGTCCAGGCTGACTCCCTTAGTACGGGACGATATAATCAGCGACTTTAAGTTGAAGCCCATGTGCACTAACCATTCGGAATCCCCTATGGCTCCTAAGAATTATGCTCAACCTCCTCCACCTGTGCTCTGTGCACGGAGCAGTGAAGTCTGGGTCACAGAACATCTGTGTGTAACAGGACTTCCTGGATACTTTTTTTTTTATGGAAATATAGTTGACATAGTGTTAAGTTTCAGATGTACAATAAATATTTTAAACGCACTGCTGGAACCTACTGTTCAGAAAATAAAAGTTTGTTTCAAAATATTACCCCTAACTGACAAAGGCACCTTGTCACCCAAGCGTTCTGATGGAGACACAAGACATTAGTATCACTTTCATACCTACTAACACAACATCCACTTGGCAGGCCATGGGTCAAGAAGAAATTTCAACTTTCAAGTCTTATTTTTTTTTCTTCTTTATTCAGCTGTATAAACATGGGGACAGGGGTCCAAGCATGTATCACTTTGTGGAGACTAAAGCACCCTACATACACTGCCGAAAAGCTGCACCACCTGTGCCCCTATACCCTGGATCTGGGCCTCCTTAGCCCCTTGCCCCTCCAAGGTATCTGAATGGGACAAGTGAGGGTCAGCTGAGCATCCACAGGGAAGAAACAGGCATTGGAAGTCAAGCCTTGTTATTTAAGAAATCTGTCTCATAAAGCTATAGCTGCTATGGATAGTGATTCCTTTGATGGATCTGGGCAAAGCACATTAAAAACCTTCTAGAAAGGATTCACCATCTTAGATGCCATTAAGAAGATGTGTGTTTCATGGGACTAGGTCAAGATATCAACATTAACACGTTTGGAAGAAGTTGATTCCAACCTCATGGATGACTCTGAGGGGTTCAAGGCTTCAGTGGAGAAAGCAACTGCAGATGTGGTAGAAACAGCAAGAAAACTGGAATGAGAAGTACAACCTGATGATGAGACCCAAGTGTTGCAGTCTCATGATAAAACTTTTTTTTTTAAAGATTTTATTTATTTATTCATGAGAGACAGAGAGAGAGAAGCATAGACACAGGCAGAGGGAAAAGCAGGCTCCATGCAGGGAGCCCGACGTGGGACTCGATCCAGGGTCTCCAGGATCAGGCCCCAGGTCAAAGGTGGTGCTAAACCGCTGAGCCACCCAGGCTGCCCATGATAAAACTTTCAATAGATAAGGAGTTGCTATCTATGAATGAGCAAAGAAAGTGGTTTCTTGAGATGGAAACTACTGCAGGGGAAGATTGTGTGAAGACTGTTGAAAAGACCACAAAGGAATTAGAATATTACATGGATTCAGCTGATAAAGCAGTAGCAGAGCTTAAGAGTCCAATTTTGAAATAAGTTCTACTGTGGGTAAAATCCTGCCAAACAGTATTCCATGCTACAGAGAAACTGTTCATGAAAGGAAGAATTAATTGATGCAGCCAACGTCTTTAGTACCTTAGTTTAAGAAGTTGCCACAGCCTACCCAACCTTCAGCAACTACCACCCTGGCCAGCCCCCATCATCATCAAGGCAAGACCTTTTACCACCAAAAAGATTATGACTTGCTGAAAACTCAGATGATAGCCAGCATTTTTTTTAGCAATAAAATATTTTGTAATTAAGTTATTTACACTGTTTTTTAGACATAACACTGTTACATAATAAACTATAGTATAGTGTAAACACAGGTTTTATATGCACTGAGAAACCAGAAAATTCATTTGACTTACCTTACTGCAATATCTGCTTTATTGTAGTGCTCTGGAACCAAATCCACATCTCCATTGCACACCTGTAGAATATAGAAATACAATGAAGAAGGCCAACGAAACCAAAAGTTGGTTCTCAAAAAAGATAAAATAGAGAAAATTATAGGTAAAAATAGACAAGTTAATTAGAGTCTCAAATTACCGATCCTTTACAAACTTCCAAATTATAAAAAAGGAGAGAGCACTTCCCAATTTATCTTATGTGACCAGTATTATTATGACACCAAAATTAGGTAAATATATCAAAGAAAATAAAACTACAAGTCAGTATCCTTTTTGAATATATATGTAAAAATCCTCAATAAAATACTAGAAAATTAAATCCAGGAAAATATATAAAACATTATACACCGTGACTAAATTGGAGTTATCCAAGAAAGTGAGCTTAGTTTAAACATATGAAAATCAATCAATGTAATACATCATCTAAGTACAATAAAAGACAGTCTTCATGTGGTCATCTTAATGAGTACAGAAAAAGCATTTCATGAAATCAATGCCCTCTCTGAATAAAACACTATACAAATTAGAAATAAAAGTGAATTTTGTCAACCTGGGAGAGGATATCTATTTAACACCCCCAGCTAACATCATACCTGATGCCAAAGACTAAATGATTTATGCCCAACACTAGGAAAAAACAAGAATGTTCTCTCTTTTCACTTTTATTCACCCTTGTTCAGGAAATTCTAGCTAGGACAATTAGGTAAGCAAAAGAAGTAACAGGTATCTATATTTGCAGTAACATTTGCAGATGATAAGATTTTATTTATAGAAAACCCTAGGTAATCTGTTTAAAAGACTATTAAATAAATGAGTTCAGCAAAGTTTAAGGACACAAGGTCAATATACAAAACTCAATTATGTTTCTACACACTAGCAATGAAATTGAATGAATAATCAATTCATTTTTATCATAAAAAGGATAAAACCATTCGGCATAAACTTAACAAAGGAAATACATTTCTTGAACACTGAAAACTACAAAATATTGCTAAAAGGATTAAAGAAGATCTAAGAAAATGGGAAGTCAATGCATAGTCATGAATTGGAAGACAATATTGTTAGGATGACAATACTCCCCCAAATTTATCTATCTTCAGTATGCTTCCTATCAAAATATCTGCTTTTTTTTTTTTACAAAAATCGACAAGGTGATCTTAAAATTCATATGGAAATTCAAAAGAATCATAATAGGCTAAAGAATCTTGGAAAAAAGAACTCAACTTAGAGGAGTCACATTTATGCATTTCAAATTTTAGTAGGGAAAAATTTAGTACAGAGGTGTAGCGATCAAGATGGTGTGGTGCTGATATACAGACAGATATAGATAGGTAAGTGGAATAGAACTAAGAGTGCAGAAATAAACCCTTACATTTATGGTCAATTTATAGCATTAAAATTATTATGACTTTATAGTACTAGTAACATCTATCACCTCAAGTATGAGATCATGTTTCGCTCTACTGTAACAGAAGTAGCATAAAATAAAAGCAATCTAAGCTTTGTCACAGAAGCTTAATTTGCCATTCACAAAAGAAAATAAAATTAGAGAATATACAAGAAAGGAAAAAATAAAATGAAAATTTTAGTTAATACAAAAAAAAAGTTTGTTTAGTTAAAACAAACACAGAAAAGTGTTTGTTCTTAGAAAAGATTCGTAAAATTGAAATAAGCTAATAAGCATGACAGAGGAGAGAATAAGAAACCCCGAAATTATATTCTGCTCTGAAATTACAAGGAAGATATCACTGCAGATACTCTAGCTATTAATAAAGGGATTAAGAGAATATAATGAACATTTTAACCCAATAAATTTTTATAAATTAAATTAGATAATTTAAATAAATAAATTTACCACGTGGGCACAGGAAGAAATAGAAATAATAATCTTAGAGCCCTCCATGCAGCACCATTCCATGGGAGGATCAACAAGCCACAGGCGGAAGGCTGGTTACACTGAATGTCTTCCTCTCTGAAAAGGGCAGTGTCCCCCCAAATGGGATATATTGTGGCTGTAAGCTTCCTTCCTAGGGCCAAGGGATCCACTCTAGGGCAAGGAAGGTAAATGCGGGTAATAATTATGGTTCACTGGTTCTAATACACACAACATCGCCCACAGGCTGCTGTCCTTATAATAAGGGAACAGTTTCTGGAAATATATCTAAATATCTACTTGCCTGTGAAACCCTGAGAAGATGGTACACTATCCTTCAGTTCCATTTTGTAATAAGTAGGCCACCTATGGACAGAAAACAAGGGGTCGAAATAGGACTCCCCATGCTCTCCAACATGCCTGTTAATGTACCTGGGGAATTTGGGCTTCTTTTCCCTATAATATGAAGTTCTGTGCTTCTAGAGGATTTGGTTGGCTGAGCATTTTCATTAGGGGGTCTCAGTAATGGTCTCGTTAAATTTAAGGCTATTATGGCCTCCTCTTTACCCCAGGCTCCTCGTAACTATTGATTAGCAGGCAAAGAAAAGAGTTAACATGTTGGCAAGATTCACGGACTCTCATCATCAGAAGAGGTAGGTGTGTTACTATATAACGAGGGCAAAAAAAAAAAAAAACAAAACAAAACAAAACAGTAAGTAACTAAGTGATAAGCCAGGATCTCACTCTATATTTATATAGAATATATTCTATTCACTGTTATGGCTTTAAATGGACAGGAACACCAAAAGTGGCTCTATACAGGCATGATAACTAGGGATTTGGTCACCCCAGGTATGACTGTCAGGTTCACTCCAGCAGGCAAGGCTCTCAAACCAACAGTGATTTTCCTTGAAGAAATGGAAATGTGGAATTTGTGGTAGAGATAGAATGAGTATCAGTAACAGGCTTATTTAAAATCAGGGGTATTATGTGTTCCTAGAACACTCATCTTTAAATTTCCCCTAGAGTATGTCTGAGGAATCCTAGAGAAATTGTGCCCAGATGGAATGAATGAATGTAAGGAGCAAGATGACCTGAGCAATGTAAGCCCCAGACTACAGGGGAAGCTGTTGGGGCCCTACCCGCACAATCCCTTCGTTACCAGTGCAGCCATAGCCTAGCCACCCGCACCTGATGGCTCATAGCTTTACTCTTCTAGGAAAACTACTCATGTCCAAAGAAAATCACTTTCACAAGAAAGGCATGAAAACCCACGTCCTTTAGCTAGGAGGTGGCCTACAGACAATGAGTAACTTGATACTGAATACACACAAAGTTGTGCCTCTTGTCTCAAGTTTGGGCAATTTTATGACTGAGGGCTACTCATGTGGTCGACATAAGAGTAGAATAGACTGAAATATATGGATTATTAGCTCCCTGCCCCACTTCTATCCTGTTTCCCTCATTTCCTTAATAGGATTCTCCTAAGAACATTTCCTCAATAAACCGCTTGTATCAGAATTCATGTCAGGTTCTGCTTCCAAAGAATACGGACTAATTCCACTCAGAAGAATGAGTCTCTGACTTAGCAAAACAAAGAAATTGTAATATTTTATGTAGTAAAGAAATATTTTAAACCAATGACTAGAAAGTATTTAAAAATACGGTGATGCAAAAAGGTATATCTGATAAATATGAGCCCAAAAAAAGGATGTTTTTGTAACAATATTAAGCAATAAAAGGCCAACAGACATGAAAGGATAAACGAAGAATGGTCTATTTACACAACGTTCATTGGGCAATAAAATACTTCACAAGTGGACATGTGTATGAATAAAGAACCAGGGTAAGAACAGCTGATTCTCTGTTTATTTGTCAAACGGCTTGGCGCTAATTCTTTTATTTTACAGACTTCATTTTCTCCACTTTCACCATGTAAATCTCGGGATTTCCACATATCTCTAAGCACATACTAAAAGCAAAGAGCGGAATCTCTTCATTCTCAGTGATTCATGAATATGTTAAAACAACTGTTTCATTCCAGAGGACAATGTGAAATATGCACAGCCCTTTTTCTTACTAATTATCTCAGCTGAGGCTAATTATTTAATTTTTTGAGTCTTACTTTAATCACTCCTATAATGGGAAAAATTCCATAAATTGCAAGGCATTAAAAATCTCGAATGTCTCTCAAAGGCATATATTATAATCTCTCAACAACCCATACCTCTTTATCCTCCTTTTTTTCTTTTTTCCTTTCAAAGTAAAAAAAAAAAATCATATCATTTGATATTTTCCCCTCTCTTAGACCAATTAAATTTGAATTTCTGTGGGTGGAGCTTAGGCACTGCTGGTTTTTTTTTATGCCAAATTGTTTGTATAATTACAATGCTACTCTTCTGAAACTAATATTATACTATATGCCAACTAACGAATTTACGTAAAAACTTGAAACAGAAAACCCCACAAGGTTACATTAGGTCCAAGTGTACAATTTACTGATTCAACAATTCTATGAGTTACTCAGTGCTCACCATGATAATTGTAGTCATTATCTGTTGCCATATAACATTATTACGATATTATTGACTACATTCCTTCTTAATCCTGAAATATTTTTAACCCTAAAATGTTAATATTCTAAAATGATTTTCTAATAGGGCAATAAAAAAAGAATAAAATAATGAAATTTTATTTCAAAAAGAATCTCATTATTTAAAAATGTCTTCACTATTATTCTTACTATTTTAGATGCTCACTGAAATATGAAAGGGCAAAAATTAGATTTACGAATGGAATAGAAAAACTTCGAGTTCCACATTGTCAAAGACAATGTTTAAATTGTATTATAATATATTCAGAAAGATAATAAGTTATTTTCACATGTCAATAAGAACACAAAGGGGTATCTCTAGTCTGCTCGTACTATAATTTTGTTTCCTCCAAACTCAGTAGAGAAAGAGAGAGAATATATCACTTCATATTCCACATGAGATGGACTTATGTAAGCTAACAGAATAGAATTCCTCGTGTTGTAAAAAATGCATGATCACATTCTGGAAAAATCCTCTTAGGAGACAGTGTTTCTCACTGCCCCTGTCCCCTGTCAAAAATAGCAAGATTAGCAAATACCAGCCCTCCAGGTAA